TCCTTCCCTCATTATCTTCTCCTGAAAAATACAGATTTATCCTGGAAATTATGGTTTTCCTAAGCAGTAGGTTGTATTCTCATCTATTTGTTGCTGTTGTTTAATAAGCCCTGGAGATTTCCCCCTTCATACTCACACTGTAAATTTCTCTCTTTCTTTTTCAAACCCATGAGTGCTTTGATGTCTGCATCATCCTGTGGTGATGACTTCTGCTGCACCATGTGGAAGAAGTGCTTTGTCTCACTTGACTTCTAAATCTATGACCTGATTATTCTGTTTGTTGCCTCCTATTTCTTGTGCCATGAGCAATACCAAATGGTCTTTCCAATTTCACTGTCTCCATACTGAAACCTTTCCAATGTTGAATAAAGAGAATTAATTGTTTCACCCATGATGTTTTTCTTGTCCTTATTGTCATAAGACAATAAAATACATCCCATTCTCTCACACATGTCAACTTCTATAGAAACAGTGCTGCTTATGTCTGTGTTGGTTTACACAGTTGTTGTTTCAGATTCTCCATGTGGTCCCCTTCTCTTCCATCCTCTTGCCTGGCACATTGCTGGTTTTTGTTTTTGGGGGTATTTTTGCATTTTACTGTTTTTTTTCTATTTGTAAATGTAGGGCGGGTTATGCTTGCTTTGTCTGAATCTCTACTTCCGTGGTTTTTTTCCCAGTCTCACTGAGAACATTTAATTTACTCTTGTGAGGAACCTAGAAATGTCAGGAGGTGACATCTGTAGCAGTTGCTGCAGGTACTTCCAGTTCTAGCAGCAGCGGCAGTAAGGATAGTCAGTGGATGTCCAGGTGCTGGGCAGAATGTGGTGGGAGATCTGCCCTTTGATTTCTTCTAGGTCCTTCTCAACAGTGGTACAGATGCTTGTGAAAGACAGGGAAAATGGCCTCTAGGCCTTCCCTTTGCCTAACACATAGATCTATGTAAACTTAGAGCACCCCTGGCTTCAGGGCTTTGCAACTGAGTTACTTGACTTAAACCGATCATCTTTCAACAAAATTCCTTGATTGCATCTCCTTCTCTTCCTCCTGCTCCTTTTCCTCTCTGCTCACTGCATCTGTGGTCCCTGACACAATGTGTGGATTCCTTTCCTAGGTATGCAGAAGAACTGGCTACCACAAGGGTCCTCAAGCACAGCTCCGAGTCTGCTAATGGAAAATGTGGAGAAAACCTAGCATGGGCATCCTATGACCAATCAGGTGAGCTTTCTTCTCTTATTGTCTCACAGACACCTGATAAATGGCCTGTCTTATGTACTTTGGGCTCAGAGCATCTGGTTGCAAGAGTTTTGGAGTTTCCTCTGCTTCAAAAATGCAGTCACCACACCCCAGCCCAGTCCAGGCTCTCTGGGGACAGAGTTTGCAGTCACCTGTGTGTACTGAGAGCAAGAAGCACATGTAGGCACAGAGGAGTTAAGGGTCTGTGGTAATGTGTTATGTCCTTTCAGAGGTAGGACTTGGCAGCTAGGCTGCTCCATACACCCCTTCTGTAGGGCTGTCTGTAGTGCTACTTGTTCGTTCATGAGAAAAGAGAAGGAAGTTGTCAATGCCCTGTATTTCACCTTTAGCCTTAGTTTGCCCCACCCAAAGAGAGATCTGCCCACAGGCCAGCTGTGGTGATGAAAGTGGAAAAATATCCATTGCATGGTACACTGCAGTTCCTGTTTGTGGGAGTAAAAATGAGGGTTTGGACACCAGAGTGACAGTGGCTAATGTGTTTGACATCTAGTACCTTCCACTCTGTCAGAAAACAGGCTTTGATCCCTTTTCCATGTCTTCATTTTTTGATGAAATATATATTTCATATATTTTCTGATCATAAAAGTGACACGTAACTGACAGCCTTTGTTTGGATGCCCCAGGAGCTGAATTTTGACCAGGCTGACAGTTTGCAGTGAGCCCTCAGTTGGGGAGATATTCAACAAGCTTTCTCCTGCCTCCTCCAGTGGTCAGGGCTCATGCCTCAGCCTGCTGGGACAGCAGGTGGGATGTATTAAAAGTGACCACTTGCTTTCTTTATTCCATTCTACCCCTGGAATTTCCAGCACAGCCTTGGGGAAACAGAAGCTCATTTCTGCAGGCTCTGTTTGAAGGACCTGGAAATTTTAGTGAGTTTTAGACCCAGGGACATTGCTTGGTTCCTCTTCAAGTGCCAACTCTAGTCCCAAGTGGGTACTTTTTCATAATGAAAAGAAATCCATGGTGGAAAAATACAATTTGATCTACTCATGTTTGGCATTCTGTCCTTTGCAAGAGTGTGAGGCAAGGGTTCAGAGCAGCGTGGGAAAACACAGATGTACGGCAAAGTTTTCATAGTGGCTGTGACTCACTGATGAGCTGACTTCTTTCTCCTTGCTTGTGTTAATGGCCTGTGCTCCTTCCTCCCCCCCCAAGGTTGAAGTCACAGAATTCCCCTTTGGAGAACTGGAAACATAACATACAAATCCTTCTGTCTTTTTCTGGATACCATTTTTTTTATCGAAGCACTGTTTCCATACATAATTTCCAGGTTTGAGCAGTTGTGCTGGCTTTATTATCCATGGGATTCAATGTCTTGCTGAGAAAATTAAGCTATATCCGCTTTTGTTCTGCAGAACACTTCTACATTTCCAATGCAGCAGGATCACTCAGAGTACCAGAATGAGAATGCTAGTTGTTCAAAGAAAGTTATTTTCTCATCTGGGCTTAGTCTTCATCTCTATGGAGCTGGTTCATTCTTCCTCTTTTTCTCATATAGTTCCCTTTGGATAGTTAATTTGTACCCTGCTCAATGAGGCTGAAATTTGGATTAAGACATCCATTCAGGGGCTTAACAAAGGCAGGCAGTGTCTTCTGGTTTCTTTCCCGATAAAGCAAAACTCAATAAACCTCTAGCATACTCTCTATTCTCTCTCAAAAAAGTGATGCTGTTGTTTATATTGGCTCTCACTGAGCTCTGTAGTAATGCCAGAAGATGCATTTCTTGTTTTAGTGAAGATTTAAGCTTTCAACTATAAAACCTTCTAGTTTGACTCCTTTCCTGGTACAAGAATACCTTGAATTGTATTCAGGATTTTAGAGTTACATAGCCTAAAGCTATTGCTGGAAATATGTTTATCCCTGTAATCCAAGAAATAGTTGACAGCTGTTTCCTCCCTCCAGTCCTGCAGGAACTGCTCTGTGGCAGACTTCTCTTTGTCTGTGTTCAAATAAGTGAGCTGTCATCTGCCACTAATGTGAGAGACCACAGCCTGCCCTGGCAGCTGTAGTATGTCAGGCTTCTCAGGATGCCTCATCTCATTTCTCGTGTGTTGGGAGGCACTGGATGTCTAAATTCTGGTTGGGATGGCTGGTGTAGTCGTGAGGAACGTGCTGTGTTGCCTGTGAAAACACTGCAGTTTATGAACTCTAGACATGTCGTAAGAGAAATTCATGGTATGTTATCACCCAAATCTGTTGTGAGAGGAACCTGGGTCTCCTGCAGATTGGGGTTAGTGGGCAGGGCAGCCCAGGCACTGTCTGCCCCAGCCCTGGAGGAGTGTGGTCTGACTGAGAGCCAGTCTTGATGTATCTCTTGGTGTTTAACACCAGGTTTATATAATCTTATTAAATAAAATGCAGTAAAATAAATAAGGACCTGCTTGAGGAATGCTGAAAGTAGAGTATTACTTCCAAAATCCATTAGTATTACCTTAGTCTAGGTAGGTATTTTATTTCTGAGGCAAAGCTGAATCTACCTATACCTTCTTTCTCCTTAGACTGGTGAAAGAGACCTTGTGACAACCTAGTTTTTGAGTAGATTGTCATGGTGCTGCCCATCCTTGCAGAGAAATATGTCCTATGTGATTTTATTAGAAAGTTTTTAGCAACTTATTCAGTGGGATTACTTGAAGATTTAAGGATTCTTTGGTATGAGGAGAACACAGTAAGGCTGGATCCAGAGAAATCAACAGTTAGGAAGAGCTGAACACAGTAGTAGGGCTGCTGCAGCACTGTGTTCCCAATAGTGAGGCTTGGAGTGTATTTCCAGGCTTGCACACACACAAACACACATATACAGCACGTACATGTGTATATATGCAGAGCAGCACAAACAGATGCAGTCAACATTAAAATGAACAGCACCAGTGTCCTCTTTCTGTTCCCCTTTTTGACTGATTGCAATGATATATGTTACTGTAATATATATAAGTATTAAAATAATATGGTGTATATGTATACAATTACATATTCTCAGTGACTGATTAAAAAAATAGATACCATGTATAGTTTATAGTGTTGATTATATATAATTTTATGTGTATTTCTCAGCAGTAGAAATAGAATTCCAGTGTGGAACCCTGCAGTAGCTAAGCTCTCTGTCTGCCCAGTAGCTGCCCCTGGATCCCAGTCTCCCCTGCTGCTTGCACCTGGACATACCCTGTGACTGCAGTTCTGCTCCAGTTGCCAGTACAGTGCATCCCACACACAGCTCCCTGGCTGCTGGCCAAGGTTCTCCTTGTCCCTGTGGTGGCCACACACTTCTGTAGCAAATCCTTCCAGAGCACTTCACCTGCCCTCCAGCTAGTCCAGCTTGTGCTGTGCTCACACACTCACACCTGTGCTGGTGCTTCAGTTACCTGCTCCGCAGACACACAGGTCCCTGCAACCTTTGGTCTGATACCACTTGTTGGCATTCACACCCCTCCAAACATCAGCACAGAATAGAGCTCCTTGCCCAGGAGAATAGTTAGAAATGACATTTAATGAGACAACAGCACAACTGATGAGATGCAGAGCATGGCCAGGCAAGAGTACTGACACCTGTTTACATGAAGAACTTTACACCAGGACTGTTACTTCTACATATGGACTAACCTTGCACAGTCACTCCTCTGACCCTGTGAGGCACTTGAGGCACAGTCAGTGGGACCATGTAGAAAGCTCGTAGTTTGGGTAAATAAAATAAAATCACTATGCTGATTCTGGACCTAGTCTTGGGCAAAACTGTACTTGGACACTAGTTCAAGCGTTGAACCAATTTTTTATGTGATGTAGATGTGTCCATTGTGGTATTGATGAAACTCATGAGAGTGAGGTCCATCTTGTTCTGAAATGAGCATCTAGAAAGTCTAACAAGCAGGTCATCAGTCAGCTGTGGCTGGGAGAAGGGTGGAGTCAAACTGTGTTTCCATAGAGAAAGTGTTGAAACTATGAGTGTGGTTTACAGCAATGCAAGCAGGAAGGATATTAAAAACTGAGCAGTTTTTTAATCAGTTCTGCAAGTGGAGCAACAGAAGAGAAGCTGCAGAGTTGACAGCAGGGCATGGCCACATGCTTCTTGATAGAACTAAACTTTATCATTTCTGCTATAATCAGTTCTTGTCACATGCAGCCTAGGCACACTTCCTGGAGCTATAGTAAGCAGAATGATGGTGACTCTCTCTTTAAATGCTCTTTATGCTGTGTCATACTGATACCTTAACAGAGGGAATGAACTGCTGGTAGCACTGAGAATGCAGTCCTACATCTGTAAAAGCACTACTTACATAGTATAGTCACTTCAGCACTTGTACACATAATGTACATGGGTTTCATAAGGCCTGATAATGTCAGCAGTCACATTCTATACTGTTCCATCCAGCTTACCACAAACACATCTAAATCCTTCATAGCTTTGAAATCTAGGATGGGACAGGATAATCTGTTTGGTTTGTTGTGGTTTTTTCTTTTATTATGTGCTTTTTATTTTCCCCTTCTATTGCATAAATATCGCTCCTTGCACTTTTTTCAGTCTTCATTTTAGCTTTAGTGTGAGTAACAAATAACTGTGTTACATACTTCAGCCATAAAACAGGTCTACAGGGTTTGTTGTTTGACACAGGGAGAGCAGGGAAAGATGAAACCAATTGTTATTCCTGAAACTTCTTCTTTGGGATACCAGAGACATTTTCTACCTTTTTGTGTAGAAAGTGTTAACTGACTCTACTGAGTACTATTGCTAACAAGTAGTGGGACATATAAGTTTGTAGTACTTCCAGTTCAAACACCTCTCAGGAGATGGCATTTCATTCAATATTTTCATTTCAATGATGGCTCTGACAACCAGCTTGCCAGGCTAACAGCATCATCATTTTAGCAGACTTCAGTCATATGAAACTGAAGTTTAAAGACATTAACACAGTGTCTGACTTCTAGAGCTGTGCAAGTTTAAGACTTTTCACTGCAAAATAGCAAAGAATGAGTCACAGCTCTTCTGCAGCCAACAGGCCACCAGGGACCAGCATTCGTCATGATGGTAGGCTTAACAGCATTGGCAGCTTGCTATGAAATCTACTGGGTTTGCATTGATGATACATCCTGGAATGCTAAGCAGAAATTTCATTATCAATGTAGCTTGGGTTAAAACCTGATCCCTTGTACCCCTTCAGTATTCGACACAAGAATTTCCTAATAACCAGTAATGGAAAACAAGTAACATTTAACTTTTGTCTTGCAACAGTTCTGAAGGGTAAAACTTTTGACTGCATAGCCTCTGCAGATTCTGATCTGAGCTATATTCCTGGCCATGGTCATAGTCCTTATACAGCTGCTGTCACTGAAAGCCTTTGATGAGATGAGACAGTGCTGGACACATGGACTTCCACACAGAAGCAGTTCCTAAGTTTGTATATTACAGGTGTCTGACTGCAGTACCTGAAGTCTAACTTAACTCTAAGTGCCTCAAAATGGACCTTCACAATGGCTCAAGTGCTAAATAAGATCAACTAAAAATAAATGCACTCAGAAATCTGACGTATTGAGTACTGATGAGAACATGGGAAACTAGAGAACATCAGAAGTGTCATTTTTCTTTAGCTTACCTGGAGCCATAAGGGGACATCTTCATGCACCTGCATCCACAGGTGGGAGGCCTCCCTGTGCCCTTTTCCTCAGAAAATCTGGCACATTGAAATATTTTCAAATACATTTCAAGAGGGAGGCGCTGGTGAAAACTGTATGCAGAAACCTAATGACAGGAGCACTCACCCAACATGAGGGAGATGTGTGTTGATTACCTTCCAAGCTGAAAGTTGCAGAGGGTTCTGTGCAAAAAAAAGTAAACTCAATGTGTTAAATTTCCAGATGTTTCTTTGAGGCCTAAAGGGATTGCTGCCCCATCTTGATCTAAATGCTATCCCACACATATCTCTCTTATACAAAGGTTTTTCTAACTTCAAACTTGTAAAGTTTTAACAGCAGATGGGAATTGGTGGATGGTCCTTTTTCCTGATCTATTGGTGATAGTATAGCACTCATCATCAGCTCTGTCCTACCAGATGAGCACTTTGCTGTAGAGATCTCCCCTGAACAGGATGAACTCTACCTGGTTCTAAAGTTGGTTTGTGGGTTGCCTACCCTAGCTTTGGGCCAGGCTCTGCCAGCCACATGATCCCTGGTACTCCACTGGAGAAACTGATGGACTGTGTTTGCATTGAGCAGAACTCCAATCATTGATGGCATGAAGTGTTAACTAAAAGCATTGGACTAATTAGTAACTTATTAAATTAATAAATTAGGAAGAGTGTTGCAAAGCTGCCCAACAGAAAAAGACCTTAGGGTGCTGGTTGGCAGCCAGCTAAACATGAGCCAACACTGTGACCAGGTGGCCAGGGAGGCCAGTGGCACCCTGGCCTGGATCAGAAATAGTGTGGCCAGCAGGGCCAGGGTAGTGACAGTCTGTCGCAGTACTTGGCACTGGTGAGGTCTCTCTTCTAACCCTGTGATCAGTTCTGGGCCCCTCACTATGAGAAGGACGTTGAGGTCCTGGAATGTGTCCAGAGAAGAGCAATGAAGCTGGTGAAAGGTTTGGAGCAGAGCACATATGAGGAGTGACTGAGGGAGCTGGGGGTGTGTAGCCTGGAGAAAAGGAGGCTCAGGGGAAACCTTATTGCTCTCTACAGCTAACTGAAAGGAGGTTATGACAAGAAAAGGGTTGGTCTGTTCTCATAGGTAACAAGAGACAAGAGGAGAGGAAAAGGCCTCAAGTTGTGCTAGGGGAGGCTTAGATTGAATATGAGGAAAAATTGGCACTAAAGGACATAGGTTAGTGGTAGACTTGATTGTGCTGAGTTAATGGTTGGACTTGATGATCTTAAAGTTCATTTCAAATCTAAACCATTCTATGATTCTATGATAAAAGTAGCAACAGCTATTGTAAAACTAGAAAGACTTGATAACTTACATGTACTACCATGTTACTTACATTTCAAAAACTCTTTTCAGTAAAAGGACTCTTTCTTCATGTTTCTAGAAGTTCTTGCTACCTTTTAACAGAAGGTCTTGCTGGCCGGGCTGTAAGTGGGTTACACTTCTGTGTTTATGTCATGATTCCACATCTCATTCCTTTCGTCTTTCAGGAAAGGATGTGGCTGACAGATGGTACAGTGAAATAAGAAATTACAGCTTTCAAAACCCAGGGTTTTCTTCTGGAACAGGTAAATTCATTCTGGGCGCTGTCTCTTCAAAATGCAGTTTCTATTTTAAGAAATTGCCCAGCCAAGTTGTTTGATATTTTTCAAAAATCTACTTTTTTTTTCTTAGGAAAAATATTAAAGGGGAAAAAATTAGGATTTCCCCAAAGTTTTATGTTAAAATCTGGCAGAAGGGTAAAAGGAATCTGAGAAATGAGGAAATAAGCTAAATTTGTAACTTCTTTCAGTTTAGTTTCTTTTCCTCCAACTCCGAAGTTTTTAACAGGCAGCTTATTTTTAAGGGAAATTAATTAGTAGGAAATGCTAAATTGGAATCATGAGGGCGTCTTACTAAATGTGCTGTGTTGTTTACATTAACATGTGACTCCTGCCAAATTATATCACTGCACTCACAGAGATCAGTTAAAGTTTGAAGATCAGGAACAGGCCATTGACTGCATACTGACATCTGGTGTGGAATGAACTTAAGAACATTGTTCCCTGAATAATGCTCAAGCAAGAGAGATGCCTGAGCTTGTTTCAGATGAAGAAAATCACGTTTTTTTCCCATAGGATTTGTCTATGCATAGAGGGAACAACATAGAGGCAGCAGAATGCAGGGGTGGCTATTAAACTAGGCCGAAGAAGACACAAAAACAGTGTTATTTTGAACAGTTGCACGTGCAAACACATGGGGGAGTATGAGATGGTTAAAGCAGATGAATAATAGTCACTCTCAGAACAGCTGTTCACACTGCAGGGAGTAAAGACCATGATGTCGCCGACAAATTTTATGTCAGTTAATTATCAAATTACTTCTCTCATGATTCTCCTACTAGGTATTCTTTTTTGGGTACAGGACATTGAAATGGGAATAGTAGCATGGAGCTAGATCAGATCAGAGTTTTTCCAAACAAAATGCTAGATGTAAGGCTCTTTTTCATGTGCTTATCTTGTTCTCATGTTAGAGAAAGAAGTGGCTTTGCATTGTTCTTTCTTTCCCAGTCCCTCGCTTGTCAAAGGGAATGTTAAAGATTTAATATCTAAAATGAATGTGTGTGTTTCTCTCTCTTTGTTCAGGTCATTTCACAGCAATGGTTTGGAAGAGCACAAAAAAAATGGGAGTCGGAAAAGCTTCTGCTAGTGACGGCTCAACGTTTGTGGTGGCTAGATATGATCCAGCTGGAAATGTAGTAAATCCAGGCTATTATGAAGAAAATGTCCTTCCTCCAAGAAAATAGCTGGGTTTTTTTTTAGGGTTGTTTGTTTGTTTTGTTTTGTTTTTCTTTGTTTGGGTTTTTTTTTAAGGTAGTCTTATTGCTTAATGACAAGTGATCCTGGATTTGGACATAACAGAGTTTGGAATGAAGCACGATTCAATGAAATTTCCTGTTTGACATTGCTGTTCACTTCTCAGTACAGAGGAAACAATTACATGTTGCTTGAGTCAGTCTGCACATTAGGTCTCTGTTGTTCCTGAGGGGGCCTCAGTTAGTTTGAGGATGAAGTATATGCAGCATTTCTGAAGGGTAAAATTTGTAATTTTTTTTTTATAGATTGCATGAACTTCAAGTCAGCATGTGAGTTAGCACATGTTGGATGTCTTTGTTTTTAAACAAGCAAATTTATAGCTTCCTGTAAACAGAAGATATCAGCTGGTAATTATATGATGTACTCCCAGTTTTCAGTATTTTTTTAAAAAAATGTTACTTCTTTGGTCTCTCTTTACCTCCTGCTACTGTGGGACTTTCTCTCTGCAGATGGAACATATGCAAAAGTTCCTGTATGAAAGGTACATGTGTAAAATGTAGTGGCATTCAGACCTGTGTGTTTTTATTAAGAGGATGTCACGGAGTACTAAAATGTCATTGTTGTATCTGTCAATCAAGCCAGAATTAATGCATGACCTGAAATCTACTAAAATTTTAGGTGCTAATGTATAAAATAAGTTTAGGATGAGTGTATTTCAAGTTCAAAATCAGCCCATCTTGCAGTTTGCAGTATGTACCTTGTCTTATAATCAAATTTTTTACCTCTTTTACAGAAATGTAAGATTCTACTTTTTGATATCTACGCACAAAACGTTTCTTTGACGGTGCACTTTAGATTTTATTTCTCAGTGACTTATTATTATTTCCTAAGGAATATCTTCTGCAGGTGTCATGCTATACAGACAATGACGTTCCCAAATCATCTCATCTCCTTTAATAATGTCACAGTTGGAGGTATTCAAATGGTCATAATTAAGAAGAGTTTTTTCTTTGTTCATATTATTCAGTAATAGTAATATTTCACATGCTGGATTTATGCCTTGAAAAAAATGAATATTTAATTTCCCTAAAAACAACCAAGCAAAGATTCTGAGGGCACATTTTTCTCTGAAGAGATGTGCATTGGGCCTTTTTGGCCAGGTTCATGTACTATAATTCAATTTGGAGGTTTATTTTTTTTATAATTGTTTCTTTTGACTTTTGCTGAGATTCTGTATGCCATAATTTGGTTCATGAAGAGTGCCATTACAGAGAAGTTTCTTTTTGTTTACACAGTTGTAATAAACTGCACTGTTATGGCTTGATTATACATCACTGTGATGCTGTTTGTTACAATTTTTGCTGTAACCAAGAATTTGACACATATCACGAACAACCGAAAATTAAATATTTTTGAATATGAATTACTCAAGCCTATGCTGTTACCTGATTCTTTGCTGAACAATCTGCAAATTTTATTTCCAGGCCATTAACCGGTGACATTATTAGTTTCGCAACATGGGGCAAATAAAAGCAGCAAGTGTTTTAGTCCAGGAAAGAAAGATGAGACCTCCTAAGAAAAAGGGTAAGTCATACAGAAGATCATGCATCATCCCTTTATGCAAAGATGGAGCTAACAGTGGAAGCTGAAGAGGCGTGGAGCTCTTTCTCTCTTGAGCTCCAGCTTTGTATCTTGTTTCAGTTCTGCTGCTCCCTCTCTGGGCTGACGTGTTGTCAGTACCGAATACCCACTCGACTCCCACTCGGGTGTGTGTTTCAGTAACTGCAGCCTTGGGGCCTTCCTCCCTTCAACCCTCAGCTGACAAGTGAGATGGGAATGAAAACAGGACTTTCCAAAAAAAGAAAAAGGCTTGCTGCAACTGACACAAAGGTAAAAGCTGATGTTAAATAAAATCACTGTATTAAAATACTTTTTTTTCCCCTAATGGCATTCATGCTATTGGCCCTATAATTCCTTGAATGGTTGATGCAAAACTGTATATATCCTAATCAAGTCAAGGCAGATTTCTTCTCTGCTGCCACCTAGGTTTTATTTTAATGTCAAAGAGGGCTGGGAAGGTAAGTAAAGAGAGGACAAAACAAAACAAAGCTTGTAGTTATCTATATTTAAAATGGTAATGGCAAGCGAACTTGTGAAGATTTTTAGACAGAGCATTTTGAGAGGACATAAGAGGTAACTGGTCATGGAAGAAGCACAAAGCCACTCAAGCAGCCTCAATGCACACTTCATACACTCCACAAAAACACCATGCAAATAAGTATGCTTGTAACAATTGAAAAACCCAAGCTGTTAATTTGCTTCTTCGTGCCCCAAGATTATGATGTTGATGCCTTCTGCAAATGAACTCTGGCTGCACAGCAAACCATGGTGTATGTAGGAGTCCAAATGTAAAGGGAAGGGTGATGTTGCTGACTGACTCACTCAAAAACCATATGATTTTGGGGAATTGAAAGTTGACTTACCAGCTATCTGTATTAAAAGACTCTGTAGGTGTATTGCTCCACTCTCTACCACATCTTGGAGAGTTGTGGAGTTTGTGAGGTGGCAAAGAAGGGTTATCTCTTGTCATGTTCGAGCAAAACAAGATGTTTAATAGCTTCTGAAGACTGGGGTTTACACATAGAAGTCACGTTTTCCCGGGGAACAAAGAATAGGCTAAACTGTCCATTCTGGTACCAGAGAAAAATGCTTACCTTTAGAGGCCTGCAGAAGGTTCCTAAGGTCTTCTTGCAGCAGCAGCAGGAGAAGGCGGAGGAGGAAAGAGAGGAAGAATTCTAGCTGGCTTGATGCTTCATTTCCAGTCTTCTGGGTTAAATAACAACAAAGCGCTTGGGGAGGAACTGGGACTGGTCTTTAAAATGGGTTGTAAAGGGAAGTCTGCATTAAACATTTCAATTTGCCAGCTTCCTTCCTTTATCTTCCCAAAAGGACAAAACCTCTCTCTGAGGAGAATTGGGGGTGTTGATTAACTAGAAGCTTGACATGGCCTGACAATGTGCACTCACAACCTAGAAGGCCAACGATGTCTTGGGATCCATCGAAAGCAGCATGGCCAGCAGTTTGAGGGAGGGGATTCTCTCCCTCTACTGGTGTGACCCTCCCTCTGGAGTACTGCATCCCTGGCATATCTGGGGCCCCCAGTGCAAACTGTTGGAGCAAGTTCAGAGGAGGACACAAAGATCATCAGATGACTGGAGCACCTCTCTTATAAAGACCAGCTGAAAAAGTTGGGGTTGTTGAACCTGGAGAAAAAAAGGCTTCTGGGAGACTTTGTAGCAATCTTCCAGTATGCAAAGGGGCTCTCCAAGAGAACTGGAGAGGGACTTTCTAAAGGGCACATAGTGATAGGGGTAGTGGCTTTAAACTGACAGAGGGTAGGTTTGGCTTAGAAATTAGGAAGAAGCTCTTTACTGTGAGGGTGGTGAGGCACTGGAACAGATTGTCTAGAGAAGCAGTGGATGCTCCATCCCTGAAAGTGTTCAGGCCAGGTTGGATGTAGCTCTGAGCAACCTGGAACTAGATGATCTGTAAGTTCCCATTCTATGATCATATGATCAAATATCATAGAATTACAGAATCATAGAATTTTAGGGGTTGGAATGGGCCTTACGGATCATCTGGTCACCACCCCCCACTGCCATGGGCAGGGACACCTCCCCACTACACCAGGTTACTCAAGGCCTCATCCAACCTGGCTTTGAACACTGCCAGGGTTGGGGCATCCACTACCTCCCTGGGCAACCTGTGCC